TCCGCGACTGGGATCGAACCCACGACCTTTGAATCAGCGGCCAAACACTGGAGCCACTATTCCACCAAGGCGGCCGGCTAATGTTACAGGAAAATCATCAATAAGTTCTGTAGAAGGGAATAGGTCCGGAAACTAGATTGTCCGTCATTATTTTTTTTCTTCTTTTTTTAGGGTCCAAGAAATTGGTCAACGAAGGCAATGCAAGCCGACGTGTTGTCAATAGCAAGGGAGCGCTAGCCAACATAGGCAGCGTATATCCACATTTATCCGATACTAGCCGATATAACTATCATTCGGCCAACAAAAAAAATATTCACGTAGGACCTCTCATCAGTAGCGTAGTCTGGAAGAAGTACAAAAGAACCGAGCCCCCTCCCCCTTTTCTCCCCCTCAATTTTGTATCACCATAGTATAAATAGCGCGACATAACCGTTTGCTGCGCCCCCCTCCCCCTTTTTTTCCGAAAAAAAAATTCTGCGTACACCTCCGTCTCTTATGCGTTCGTCAGACTGAACTCGAACGCAAAAGCTTTCTTATATTTTTTTTCTATTTAGATCCGTATTTCTTCTTCTACATCTTCTACTTATATTTTTTTTTGATAACTTCGTCTCGGCTTATTGAAGTCCTTGCAAAGTCACTGCTTTGCGACTCTCATGGATTTCTTTACAAACTGCCGACGTATAGTGTAGCCGATTCATCCATTCAAATAGGTAACCAGTAAAAGAGCGAGGGATTGTGGGATACACCGTCTGCTGCCGGCTTGCGGCTCGAAAAGAGCAGACGATGGCGAACCGCTCTGCCGCAAGCCTCAAATTATTCGGGACTCCGCCCGCACGGTCGCCCGTTTATTTTCGTCCTGATAAACCATGGTCGGTTGTTCAGTCCTTGGCTGCTCCAGCTCGAGCGTGAAAGGCAAACGCAGGTGCCGATTTCCATGGAATCAAGAAAGAAAAAATGAGGTGGGTCGCAGCTGCGAAGAGATCCACAGCGACAAGTATAGCCTTTGGGTATACCGAACGTTGGAGCCAGATTGTGTGAAGACCGTTTTATCACAGATAAGTGTATTCCACACTAATAAAAAGTTTACGCATAAATTTGCTCCGAATACTATAACAAGAAATAAATTGTCGCGCAGGCACGCCTAGCAAAGATACTATGGGGACGCACGGGCGAAATCTATACCTGCCATACGAGATGAGCGCCGGTCATTGCACCCATGTATATGGCAAAAAACGCTAACGTTTCACTGAAGAGTAACTCTACACGAAGCACTGGACGAGTTCATTTTATCTTGGTCAAGCTGTGGGCCAGGACGGCACACAAATAAAGAAGTGCGTTAAACAAGCGCAGCATTTCGGTTATTCGGCCCCGTCCCTGTCTCACTATATTGTTTATGTCCCACCGTGTCACGTAGCTTGACCAAGATTAGCGTTGAAAAAAAGCGTCTGGCTTCGACTAACAAATGCATCTTATAGCGCGCTTAAGGCTAGAAAAAATATGTATCTCTCAACGCGCTCAATAAGTGCTGCGCTCCATGCCGATCGACCGACGATGTTGGTCGAAGCAGCGATCCCGAAATGAATTCTTAGCACGCTGCTACAGTCATCCCCATCCCCCGAGATGTTTAAAATGGTGATTTTTCATCTGCAGTAACTGTCTACTGTATCGAGTGTTCTGCTAGCCAAACTGACAGTATACCCCCGTGCAGCATAAAGCATTGCAGGTCACTTTAGTGTGATAAAAAGTTTCCTTACCGTTCCTCACTTTTGTAGCATGCCATCGTCGCAGTCAGGGTTAGCAAAAACCAATCAACTTTAAAGCACTCACATTGCACGGAGAGAGGCTTTTTTCATCGGAGCGGTACAAAAATGTGCACATGCCGCTGCTTAACCCGCGTGCTGCGTCGAACCAGAAGCCGTCGTATCCCACAGTTCCTTGCGATTGCCCATATTACCGGTCACCTATTCACAATCCCAGGTGATGCGAGTCGACTTGCAGCGCGCTGTTCTTTTTCTTTATTTAGCGTTTATTTTTCTCCTTACGCCATACGATTATTCCATCATCACGCACGTGCATAAAAGCGGTTTGATGACTGCAGCGATGGGGTTACGTTGTAGCTCCGTGGCGTGTTGTTCCTAGTGATGTGGCACTTTAGAGAACTAAAAAAATAAACAAGCAAAAGCAAACATGGTGACACGGGGAGCGGCGGCATGAGCAGGTCGCAAGTTTATAGAGGAGGTCGTGGTGTGAACACTGTACAGTGAATGTCAACATATTACCAAAATGTTCAAACAAAAATGCAATTTCTTCTTTAAGGGTAAAACCAATAATAATAAAAATGAATAAATAAAAGAAAATTAGAGCTGATATCATACCGAAAGACTGCAATTTCGAGCTCACCAGAGAGTTGAGTTTACGTCACTTCATCAAAATCGAAGGTACGCCCTACATAATCTGCACACGCATCCCACCTTCTTTTTTTTATTTTTACACAATATGC